TTCTTTGTCATGGAAATATTTTATTTCTCCATTAAATTTGAAGGAAAGTTTGGCAGGCTATATCAATCTTGGTTGGAAGCTGTTTTGTCTCAGGACCTGTAATACTTCACTCCAAGCTCTTCTCGATTGGATGGTTTTGTTGAGAAATCTGCCTTGATTCTGATGGGCTTTCCTTTGTAGGTGATCTTTTTCTTTTCTCTAGCAGCTTTTAATATTCTGTTCTTTTGCTGGAGATCTGGGATCTTGATTATTATATGTCTGGGTGTGGTTTTATTTTGGTTATGGCTAAATGGGGTTCTATATGCCTCATTTACCTTTGCATCAGGTTCTGTTTCCATGCTTGGGAAGTTTTCTGCTATCATTTCTGCAAATATTCTTTTTATGTCATTTGTGTTGCCTCCTGCTGTTTATTGACTCCCATCAGTCCTACATTATTTCTCTTTACCTCATCTTGCCGCTGTGAGCTGATTTTTCCTGGATCCCTGCTGATTTTAAGAGATCCTTCCTTTCACAGTCATTAGCTGCCATGCTGTCTTCAATATCTGAGATTCTATCTTCAGCTTCATTCAAGTGGTTTTGCCAGCTTTCAGTGGAAGTTTTGATTTCCTGGATATCTCTTTGAATCTGTTTCATGCATTCTAGTTCTGACCTGAATTATTCATTTAATGTTTCCATCATCTTTCCGTGCTCATCTATTCTGTTGTATATCTCTTCTTTAGATGTGTGAGCAGTTCTTTCATTATTGATGTCATTTCTTTTTTTACCTGGGAGATTATTTCTGATCCGATTTCTTCTATGGCCTGTTGGAGTTGTTTCTTTACTACAGTTGTGATCATTTCAGAGATTTCAAGTATGTGACTTCCAAGTTCTCCTAAGTCAGTATCTCCTGGACTGTTTTGGGTTGAGTTGAGCTCTAAGATGGCATTTTGCTCCTATGTCTTGTCCTTTTGGATGTCATATGGAAAGTGCTGAGCCAAACACTACCCAGACAGCTCACCTAAGGTCTCTAGGGACCCTAGTTTACCTGGATATCAGACTTATCACAAGGTGGTAGAGGGCAGTGGACAATCATGCCCGGGATCTCTAGGCAGTTGATAGGGTTGAGGTTTCTCATAAGGTCATTTACTAGAACATGCTCTCTTTTCTAATTGGAACATTAATTGGGATGAATTTTCTTTTTAGAACTTTTTTCACAGTGTTGCACAGGTTTTGGTTGAGGTGTGCATTGTAATTATTAATTTCCATATTTTAAAATATTTCTCCTTTGGGGCTGGGGATTTAGCTCAGTGGCAGAGTGCCTGCCTGGCAAGTGCAAGGTCATGAGTTCAGTTCCCGGTACCAGGAAAAACAAACAAACAAACAAAAAAATTTCTCCTTTGATTTTTGTCAGTTACCCACTGTTTGTTCAGGAGTACTTTGTTAAATTTCCAGGAAATATTCCCTTTTGCCAATTTTTGTCTTCATTGATTTTTCATTGCATAGTGGTTGGATAGTGTGCATGGGGGATTTCAATTCTTTTCTATTTACTTTAGCAATGCTTTGTGGATTAATGTGCAATCTATTTTGCAAAAAGTACTGTGTGCTGCTGGAAATAATATATACTTTATTATAGAGGGATGGTATACTCTGTGTATATCTATTAAATCTGTATGTTTAAGGATGTGTATCAGCTGTGAAATATCTTCATTGCTTTTTAGTTAATCTGTCTCTGTGGAAGTAGGGTGTCAAAATTGATTTTTTTTCTCTTTTTTTAGTATGGGGAATTGAACTCAGGACAGGCACTTGTGCCACTGAGCTATATTACCACACCAAAAATTCTTTACTATGACTGTGTTAATATTTTTTTGATCTTTGAATTTCAGAATTTTTTGCTTTCTTAAGATAGATGCTCCAGTATTTGTTGCATATATGCTGATCAATGTTATCTTTTTGTTGAATTTTTACATTAACTAGTATATAGTGATGTTCTTTGTGTCCTCTAATCCATTTTAACTTGACATGTGCCGTGTCTGATATTAGAATGGCTACCCCTGCTTGATTTGAGGGTCCTGGCACATGGAATGTTGTTTTCCATCCTTTAATTTTTAGTCTATGAATACATCTTTGGATTAGGTAAGATTCTTGAATGCAGCACACTGTTGGAGTTTCGTTTTTGATTCCAGTCTTCCAGTCTGTGTCTTTTGGTTGGAGAGTTGAGGCTGTTAATACTGAGAGATATTACTGAGTTGTGTTGGTTATTTGCTATCACTGCTTTGTTTACCTGTTCATATATCATTTGTTTTACTTTTCCTGCTGTTTTTTTTTGTTGTTGTTGTTGTTTATCCATTGACCTCACTAGTTTCCACTGTATTTGTCGGTGTGTCCAATCTATTGTTTCTGTGGAGAATAGCAAATGTTTTCTCCAGAGGTGCTTTAGCAGTCATACATCATCTGAGCTGGTGTTTCCATGGTAATACCTTATTTCTACATCTATTTTGAAATACAGATTTGCTGGGTAAATTAATCTAAGTTGGAAGATATTGGTTCTTAGAGCTTGAAAGACTTCTCTCCTAGCTCTTCTGGCCTTCAGGTTTTGTGCTGAGAGGTCTGCTATGGTTTTTATTATTTTACCTTTATATGTGATTTTTTTCCTTGGCTGCTTTTAAAATTATGACTTTTGAATTAAATGAGAATTATTTGAATTGACTTGAATTTAATGAGGATAAATTTAATAGAATGTGCCTTGGTAAATTTCTGCTTTCATCAAAATTATTTGGAATTCTCTAAGCATCACTTACTTGTATTTTAAAAACTTTTCTTCTGTTTCAGAAGTTTTCTTCCATAATTTCTGTAAGCCCATTGGTGAATGCATGTCTGTAATTTTTAGATTTTCTTTAACTCCAATTGCACTTAGATTGTTCTTCTTGTTGTCATCTAGCTTCTGCTGCATGGTCTTCTCTTGTTCTCCTGTTTTCAATTGGCTTTTTTGAGCTCTTTATCATAATTCGGTCTTTTGTCCTCAATATCAGATACTCTATCTTCACATTGGTCATTTCTGGAATACATGAATGGTATTCTGTTTTTCCCGTCAGATATTTCCTTCTGATGTCTTTTTGAAGATTCCATATCCTTGTTGAAATTCTCACTTACCTTTTGAACAGCTGTGGTTAGCTAGCCCAGTTTTACTTATTCCCCCAAGTTCAGTGTGGGCATAGTGAGTGTTTTTGCTGTAAACATTTGGTGCATTTCCTGTTTGAACTCATCTACTTTTTTCAACTCTGTTAAGAACTTTTCACAGATTTCTGCTATCTGGTAATTGTTTTCTTTCCCTTTGTGACTCCTTGCCTTGCCTTGGGGGAACTGGAGTGGGGTTGGAGATCATTTATTTTCTTATTTCCCCATTCCACTACTTGTATCTGTATTTATTTTATTACAAACGCCTACTTATATACATATTTAAATTATTTGTGTCCCCCATATCTTTTTATCTTCCCTTTTTTGATGCAGGGGTTACTAGAAAAGTAAGGACAATGTCTGGCTATATGGAACATTTCAGTAGAATGTTGTCTCCCCATGAACAAGTTTCGGATTTGTATGACTTCTAGTGTTTATTATTCTGTTATTTACTTCAAGTGGTTTTGACTCTGTCCCTCTGTTTTACCACAAGAACTGCTTCAGTTTCTATCACCCACAGATTCAGTCTACAACATTTCTATATGATTGTCCTTGCAATTACTCTCCCCTCTGTAGACAAGGGACAGAACTTAGACACCTATTAAATTAGAGCCAATGAAATTACAAATATGCAAGTGTATCCATGTAATATACTGATGAAATCATAAAAGAACATAAAGTCATGTTACAATAGAACTCAAGAGACATAAAGAACTTAAACCAACCAGATATCTAATGGGAACACAGATGAGATTTTCCAATGAGCCACTGCATATGTGATTCCCAAGTAGTTTCTTTACCTGATTGTAGTCTGAGTATTCATGCCCCAGTTACACCTATGCCCCTTCCACTGCAAAGCCGGGGTTAACACAAATTCAGGACCTCCTTATGGCAGGTTGCTGGCATTTTTGCAGAGTCTGATCCAGCCTGAGTTCTTGGGTAAGGGGCTCCCTCTGTTCCTCTCCCTGGGTGTGGTGGTGGATTTCCAGAGAAGTTCACAGACATTAAGTTGTCCTCTGAGTCAAAGTGATTGCTGTGCAGTCAATTCAACTGCAGCAGTAAGAGTCTAACTCATTTCAGTGGTGTCCATCAGGGTTGACTGAGAAGTAATACAGCGCAAGCCGCTGTTGTGGGTCTCCCTTTATCAGTGGGACAATGGTGTCCTGTGAGCATCCAATGCTGAGTAAGTCAGACTGAACCTGGTGCCTGAGTGCAGGTCCCAGCACTGTGATCTCCAGTCCCCGCCTTTCAGCAGGACTCACTGCAATCTGCCCTCCACTGCCCACAGCCTCCAGTGGCTAACTTTCCCTCCCCAACCCTGGGACCCTGGCAGTATGAAGTCCCCAGGAGGCTACTCTGGGACTGAAGTTCAGACTCCCAGCCCTTTCCCACAACGTCTTCCCTGCCAAGCTGCACTGCTGGGCTGTGTCCTGGGCATTTGTAAGGCAGATACTCACCATCGTTACCACTGAAAGTCACTCAGGACAGAGCCTCATGTTCTTCCTGCTGTCTCCCACTCCACACTTCAGACCCCGTGTCCTGGAGAAGTGGAGCGGCGGGAGCTCACTGCTCCACCATCTTGTCCTCTCTCCTCTGTGTTTCTTCTCTGAGTCTCTCCAATGTGGCTCCTCCTCTACTCAGCTGTGTGGGATCTTCCAGCTCATTCCTTCTCAGTGGGTCTTTCTCAGCTTCTTGAAGTGACTTTTCCTCTAGACATCCATGTTGAATCTCCTAGTCTACACTTTTGCTCTGTTCATAGTCAAATAATAGGTCTATTATTTGACTCCAATTTCTGCTCCCTGCCAGTGCGTATGTGTGTCAGGGGGTGGTTAAAAATTAGGCCCAAGATGATGGTGGCTGAGCCAAAGTGTGGAATCCACAGCTGTGAATTTGGCCAGGTAATAGCCCTCAGGCCTAAGCGTTCTGATGGAGACACAGATCTTAATTTTCTAGAATATGCATAGATAATGTCTTTCTACTCTTTGTTAGAAAACATTAGTTTTAATGTTCTCACATTTAGTTGACTTATATGCTTTAATGCCGTAAAATGTTTGACACTATTTTACAATATTCATTTTAAGTCCCATTATTTTGTGTTATGTGATAGGGTATTAAAGCAGTCACTGATTGAAATTCTTCATCTGTAAAGTAATAATGCTCTTGAAACTCAGGGTAGTAAGAATTAAATGCACTGCTTCCTGTGTATTTTACTTACAACCTGAAAAAAACTGGAGAAAACTAATTTACCCTGAGTTCCTGTGTCCATTGCACATTTAGCCTAAGACCCTGTGATCTCCTAGACTAAAAGCGAACCTGCATCTCCTACTTTATCTCTGCTCATCAACTCTCCAAGCTCAGCAAGTGAGCTGACCTGGTGTCATCCTTGTCAGAAAGCCACCGCCATGCCTGCCATGCTCTCAGCAATGACTCTGTCCTCTCCTTAATCATCTCCAGGGCAGTTCCAAGTGAAGGGACCAAGCTCACCAGTCACTGCCCGGGTCAGAGAAGCAGCTGTGCTTCCCTGCCTCCTCAGCCCACCCGAGGATGCTCAGAACATGGAGATCAGATGGCACCGAGACCACCAATCTGTACTGGTGCACGAGTACAGGGATTCTCGGGACCGCACGGAGCAGCAGAGTCCTGAGTACCAAGGGAGGACAGAGCTCCTGAGGGAGAACATCACCGAAGGCCAGGTGGCCCTGAGGATCTATCCCGTCCTCCCTGCAGATGAAGGGCAGTACAGCTGTGTCTTTGTAAGATCCACACAGCTCGGGCAAGCACAGTTTGAGCTGCGTGTCGCAGGTGAGCTCTGAAAATGCTAAATTGATATTTTTCATCCAAGTACAACTCAATTGAATGTGTGAAAAATGTGGCTTTGTCTGTACAAACATCATAATGGAATGCCAGGTGTTAGGGTTCAAATTCATCTAATTAGTCCTTGGAGAGCAATTTATTCTTTGATTGAAAAAGATTTCAATAGTTTTTCTTCACCAATATAGTTGCTCAAGAGCAGGTTGGGTCATGGAATCCAGTGTGTTCTAATTCCAAGAGTCTCAGAACACATCTCAGTCTAGGGATTTCCTTCTCACTTGCTACAGCCAGAGGGAGGTCCACTGGGACAGGAAGGACCTGGGCAGCCTAGTTTTAAAGCCTGGGTTTCTACACCTTATATCCTTCCATCCTGGCTGTGCTCCTTCCTATCACATGTGGTCCTGCCCGTTCAACCTCTGCCACCCTGTGGACTCAGATCTCTGAAGAACCCTGCGCTGTGGCCTCCCTTGCTCCCCAGACATTGACAGCGAGGAAAAGCCTGTCCTGAGCAGATGGGAGAGTAAGGGAGGGCTCATACTTAGGCATGAACTGAGCCTGAATCATATTGCTCTACAGATGTTCTGGGCCATCTGCGAAGCTCCAGGATGGGTTCCTTTTGGTCTCCTTTCAAAGGGGCTCAGCAAGAAACAAGCAAACCATCACTAGCAGCAAAATTCTGACCTTTGAGATGCAGGAGGGGCTTGGTCTCCATGTCCACCAATCTGTGTGTCTCTCCAGTGCTTCTCACCCACAACAATTTCTAAAAGCTGTTGGGAGAATAATGTGTGTATCATAGCAATTCTAGCAAGAACTCAAGTGACTGCTGTCTCTCAGGTACCTAAAAAGAAAAGAGTTCACATTTTAGGGGCCTCCATAAAGGAATCTTCCTGGTAAGTTTTGTCCAGAAAACTTTTGATTCAGTTTCTGCAAACCACAGCCTTTATTCCTGTATCATTCAGTGTTTAACTGCAGAAACAGATATAACACAAGATGTACAAATATATAAGAAATTAAAAGATTGGCTGATGATACTCATCCAGAGAGTTGGATGAGGAAGCGTGCAGAGGGTATCTGCACTAGAGACCAAAGGATTCAGTCCAGGTCTGGAGCTCACTGCAGTGTCTCCCTGTACAAGTCTGTATCAGGAGGCCGATGGGTCTGTGATGGAAGGTTGAAAGGTCTACACAGGAAGGGTCACAGTCTACTCCTGAAGTCCAAAAGATCTGAAATGGAAGCCAAAGAGTCTGCACTAGAAGCCAGGAGATGACATCCAAGCCAAAGGTGAAGCCTGGAGCTCTCAGAACTTCAGAAGCCAGTCCATTCTTCCTCATTTCCCCTTTATATCTTTCCAATTACAGGCTGCCCCTAAGCACACCCTAGTGTGTAGGATTGCTGAACAGATTTCATTAATATTCTATACTTCTCAAGTTGACACAATCAATCAAACATTAGAGCACTTCTCTCCTCACAATCTCTGTGGTCTTGGAAAGAGCTCAGCCCCTGTCTGGGTTAGGAAGCCCCCATATTGCAGCTGGTGCCCTGGACTCAGCCCTACAGGGGCCCACTTTATGCAAAGGACCAGTGCCCGGCAGATGCACTTGCCCAGGAGCTTGCAGGGCTGGGTGAACCTGACCTTTCTCCTCACTCACCCAGCCTCAGCTTCTGGGGAGATCTTCAATCTCCTGTGTGGACATCTGGGGAGACCCTGACACATCCATTCCTAGAGGCTCTGCAATCATTTTCCAGAATTTGTGCAATTGTGTCCAGTAAACCTTTACTTATGTAAATAAAAAACCCTCATGAGTGGCTGTGAATCTGAAGCCAGCACCTGCATGCATCTCCTGGCCCATTCCCTCATTCCTCTGGAGCAGCCCGACTTGTCCTGTCCCAAGGCTTTCTTCTGACACAGATTCCACACTGTGTAGGAATCAGCTTCCCCTGGGCTCCACTTTATTCCCGCATACTCAGCAGCACATACTTCACACCCTGAAGCTCCTGGCTGGACACCAGCTGTCCTGCCTGCCCTGGAGTTTGTTCTGACACCAGCAGTGTTTCCAGAGCACCTGCTGAGATCTCTGTTTGGATCTCATGGGTCCAGCAAGAAAGTCTTTCAGAGGCATCACCTCTTTGAGTTCTAGAAAAAGTAAGGCAGGAGTGGTTGTAGATTCAACCTGGGCACATCAAGCACAGCAGAAATTTACATGAAGATGAAGCCAGTGTCAGGCTTCCCAATTTCCACTGCTTACACCCACCAGAGACAATGTGCGTTAATCCCACTCACTTCTTTATGGAGCCAGAGCAAACTCAGCCTGTCCAAGAGGTTCAGTTGGTTTTCTCATGTTCCATGAGCAGTGACACACAGTGAAACCTTGCTTTGCATGCATACTGTCCTACAGAGACATGTTTCTAACCTGTTTAGTTTTGTTTTTGTCTTTTTGAGACAGGGTCTCACTACGCAGTTCAAGCTGGCCTTGAGCTCACTTTGTAACCCAGGATGGCCTTGAACTCGCAGTGATCCTCCTGCCTAAACCTCCTGAGTGCTGGGATTACAGGAGTGAGCCACCACACCTGGCCCGACATGCTTGTAATCTAGAGCACTTGTGTGTCAAAACAAATTTCTCCTTAAGAAATAATGGAGCACCAGATGATTTGTTACACAATCCCAAAATGTTCATATAAAAAAGAATCCAATACTCTCATATAATACAAAATAATAAAGAAAATACGAGATATAAAGAGAAATGAACAAATTCACCTGCCCTTGCCTTGGAAAACCTAAATGGCTGGTTGAGGGAGACAACAGAGGGAAGGTCACTGTAGG